CTGCCTGCACCAAGAAAACAACTGTGCCGCCGGTAAACGGTACTTCACCCACAAACACAGATACCATGATAAATACAGGAGGTAAAAAATGGCTCGCACTGGGCGATTCCTATACCATCGGTACTTCTGTAAATGAAGCGGATAGGTATGCCGTGCAGACCGTTGCCCTGTTGAAAACACAGGGCATTGCGATGGCGGATGCGGTTATTATTGCCACCAATGGATGGACAACAGGTGATTTAATGGCTGCGGTGCGCGACAAGCCCGTAAGTACTGATTACGATGTAGTGAGCCTGCTCATTGGGGTTAATAATCAATACCGCGGCGGCAGCATAGAAGAATACCGGCAGCAGTTTACCGTATTGCTGCAACGTTCCATACAACTGGCCAACGGCAAGCCCAATCATGTGGTGGTGCTGTCTATTCCTGATTACTCAGTAACACCTTTTGCCAGCGGCAGCAATAAACAGCAAATTGCACGGGAGATTGATGCTTTTAACGAAGCCAATAAGATGATTGCTGCAGATTATAAAGTACACTATCTCTATATCACCGATGAATCGAGAAAAGCCGCTGCTGATCCTTCACTGGTGGCTGCAGATGGCCTGCATTTCTCAGGTAAGGAATATGCCGTCTGGTCGCAGCAATTGATGCCCATCATAAAATCCTTCCTGCAATAAGTGCTAAAAGACATTCCTGTATTGCCGTTCACCGGGCTTTCATTAAGTTTGAATGAATTAAAGCCTGGTGTATGACTGCTGTAAAGTTTTTTCTCCCCCTTTTGTTTGCCTGCTTCTTTTCATTCATTTTACCCGCCCAGGTGAAACTGCCGGGCTTTACCGGTTATGCGTTACCGGCAGAAACGGGTACTGAAGAAGAGGAGAGTCTCCTGTTCAGCGAAAAGGATGGGCTGCACAACTGGACCAATGCAAGGCAAAAACTGCAGTATTTTTTTAACGTGGGCAGCAGCGGGTCGCTGATGCTCAGCCTCTGGGCAAAAAATGCCCGGGTGGGTACGGTGCTGCAGGTGCGCATTGCCGGTAAAAAATTTGCGGTAAATGTGCCGGCCAGTAGTGTTTTCAGGAAGCTGAAACTGGGCACTGTTGCTGGTATTCATCCCGGGTTTTATACCATTGAAATTACAGCACTGAAAAAAGCAGGCTCCACCATCGCTGCCATTCAGTCTGTAGAACTGGAAGGCAGCGCGGCCGCAGGTATACAGTTTAACGCAAAGCCAAGGCGCAATGCGGCGTCTGTTCATTTGAAGTATCCCGTTGCAGACAGCGCTAAAGTGGTTTCTTTTTACAGCGAACTGATGGTGCCTGCGGGGGCAGATCCGCTCTACACCTATTACATGGCCGATGGTTTTGCAAGGGGCTATTTCGGGATGCAGGTAAACAGTACTACAGAAAGACGCATTATTTTTTCTGTATGGGATGCCGGCAATGAAGCGGTAGATCGCAACAAGGTACCTGAAGAAAAAAAAGTGCAGCTATTGGGTAAGGGGGTTGATGTGGTAGCGGATGGTTTTGGCAATGAAGGAACCGGTGGACATAGTCATTTAGTGTACAACTGGAAAACAGGAACGGCTTATCAGTTTTTGGTAACCGCCCTGCCCGACAGTGCCACCCAAACCACCATTTATACCGGGTATTTTTTCATGCCTGAATTGCAGCAATGGAAACTGCTGGCTTCTTTCAGGGCGCCGGAAGACGGTCATTACCTGGGACACCTGTATTCTTTTGTAGAAAATTTCCAGGGCGTTAATGGACAGCTTTCGCGTAAAGCTTTTTTCGGCAATCAATGGATACGGCAGGAAAATGGACAGTGGACTGCGCTTACAAAAGCCAGTTTTTCTTATGATGCTACGGGCAGGGCAAAAGACAGGATTGATTACGGTGCAGGTACCGATGGCGATAAATTCTATTTGTGGAACGGCGGGTTTCAGCCGGCCAATATAAAGTTTGGCGATACGCTGTTGCGCAATGGAGCCGCCAGCACACCTGTAATTGATTTTTACCGGAACGCCGACAGTGCTGTGCAGGCAGCTACAGATAAGCGCCTGATAGCGGAAAGGATTGCCAATGGAAAATTAGATACCACCGGTTCCGTGGGCGGCGTGTTTTATAAAATGTTGAAAGAGGGTACCGGTAGAAATATAAAGGTTACGGATACCGTGATTGCATATTACAAAGGCAGCCTGCTAAACGGGACGGTATTTGATCAAACCATAGAAAAGCCGGCATCTTTTCCGCTGGGCCGTTTAATAAAAGGCTGGCAAATTGGATTGCCGGTGTGCAGAATAGGCGGAAAAATCCAATTGATCATTCCTTCTAACCTGGGCTATGGTATCCGCAGCCGTTCCTCAAAGATACCGGTGAACAGTGTATTGGTGTTTGAGATTGAGGTGGTGGATGCGAAGTAAGCCATTAGCTTTTAGCTGTGAGCCTTTTTGCGCAGCGTGAGCAGGAAAAAGAGGTTTTTGCCGGGTTCACAAATCAATGAGGGCCTTTGGTCCTTGTAATTTCCAATAATTTTATGAGCTATGATTCAACAAGTGATTATGCAGAATGTGTCTCTTTTTCTCTGTTAACGCTGTGCGAATAAAATACCGGAATAGAAAGATTAAGTAAGCATTTTAATAATGTTTGCGTGCTGTGGAAATAACTGCAGTAAGTTTTCCCGGGTTCCCAGTTCAAAATCCGCAAAATCAAATCCGGGCGATACGGTACAGCCTACCAATGAATAATCGCCGCCCTTTTTGGGTGCCGAACCAAACCAGCTGCCGGCTTTTACCAGGCATTGGAACGTTTCATTGTTTTCGGGATTATTGCCCAGCAGGTGTTGGGTGAGTGTTCCTGCAGTATCAATTTCATACACTATCAAAGGATCGCCATAATAAAAATGCCATAATTCATCGGAGGCAATGCGGTGCATAGCGGAAAATTGATGTCTTTCCAGCAAAAAATAAATGGCCGTGGCCACCGGCCTGTCGCCTTTAAAATTGCCGGGTAGTATTTTATGGGGGATGGTGAGCCCTGCGCAGTAAGTGCGGGTATAGGAACCTCCTTCTACATGCTTTTCCAGCTGTAATTTTTGTATCCAGTACTCAGCCGGGTGCCTCATCTATTGCGCTATTTTTACTTTGATGGCAGCACCGCCGTAATACCAGGCGTTCAATTGTTCTTTTACGCGGGCGGTATCTGCAGGGGTACAGTTAACAATGGTATAGATGTTGAAAGTAAGGGAGTCTTTTGTCTCTACGGCTACAGTATTGTTGTATTGCGGCAGTATGCTCACGCCCTTTAACTGCTCATAACGTTTAGCTGCACGTATTTTTTTCTGTGTGGTTTCAAAAATAAATTTATAGGCACCGGCGGGCGTGTTAACAGCTGTGGTAACTGCGGTGTTGGCTGGCAGCGCTGTGACTGGGGGCTGTTGTGAACTGGTATCAGCCGTAGTGCTGCCCGGTTTTATGCCAGATGAATCCGGTATCGCCTGGCTGGTCTGCGCAGTATCGGTGCTGGTTACAGGAGAAGCATTGTTTTGGGTGGTTTCTTCCGTGCCGGCGGTATTCTTGTTGTAGAGATAATACCCACCCCAGCCAATAAGGCCAAGTGTTACAGCAATGGCCAGCAACACCATGAATTTGCCGCTGTTCACATTGCCGCTGCTGCTGCGCGGCGATTCACTGTCGTAGGCTGATTTCCGCTTTGTTTCTGTATGCCTGTGTGGTATCTCGTCTGCTTTCTGGGTGGCGATAACGGTGCCCGGGGTAAAAGTATAGGCATTGTCCTTGTTTTTTTGCAGGGTGCCAATACCTTCAAAATAAAATGGCTTGCCGATGTTCAGGTATTGAAAAGCAGTAGCAATAAATGAATAAAGATCTGCTTCTGCCAGGGGTTTCATTTTGCCAGTCTGCTCTTTCACATACACAATCAGTGAATCGTCCAGCTCGGGACCGGTTTTGGCGCTGAAACTGATACCTTCTATGGGCGTTTTCACTTTGGCATTATCATCGGGCAATATGGCATTTTCGGCCAGCGTAAACAAGCCAATTCCCGGCAGGGCAAGTCTCTTGTGTTGGTAAAAATAGGGTCCAAGCAGGTTGTCAACTTTCACGCGTATGGTTTTATCCGGTAATTTACAATAAATCGCTGGGTTACAAACAAATAAAGAATTCTAAACGTATGCTAAGGGTTCAAATTGTATTTTTACACGATATTCTCTACAAATATGCTCACAGACAGGGAAAAGGCGTTTATGGAGTACTGGCGGCAAAACCGCGACAAAGAGAAAAAGACCTTCCGGCAACTGCTGGTAGGCCTGCCCCTGGGGCTGGTTTTTGTTATCCCGATAGTTATTAACTATTCTTCCGGCTGGTACAAGCGGGCCAATATGTGGGCCAATGGGCACGCAGAAGAAAGCTCAGGCACTGTACTGGTGGTGGCGGCATTGATAATCCTTGTATTTATTGCTGTTTTTTCCAAAAAACACCGCTGGGACATGAATGAGCAGGATTACCGTGAACTGGAGGCAAAACAGCTAAAAGAAAATGAGCTCCCCGGTGCAGCAAAAGAGGATTAGGAATGGTCTCCACATACTGATATATTTGCGAAATTTTATACAATATGAGGAAGATTTTTATAGCGGTTATAGTGGTAGTGGCAACGGTTGCGGTATTGAATGGATGCAGTAAAAGTGGCAGTAATACCAATTGCAGCTACGATCCCTGTGCCGCAAAAGCACCGGCCAACGAAATCACCCAGCTGGAAACCTATCTCTCCGGCGCAGGTATTACTACGGCGGTTAAGCATTGCAGTGGTCTTTATTACCAGATATCCGCACCCGGAGCAGATAAGACACCGGGCGCTTGTTCCTATGTGACGGTTAATTACAAGGGCATGCTTACCAATGGAAATGTGTTTGACCAAACCACCACTGCCAGTGGTCCTGCGAGTTTCACGCTGCTTTCTCTTATTGAGGGCT